ATCAACCAATTATAGGCAATCCAATGGAGAATGGCTAGTCTTTTCAACAAACGGTACTGGAACAACTAGACACTCACATGCAAAAAGAAAACAAATCTATTCTCAGACCTTACATCTTTCACATAAATTAACTTGAAATAGATCATAGATCTAAATATAAAATGTAAAACTATAACAATTTTTAGAAGATAACATAGGTGAATATCTAGGTGATCCGGGGTTTGGCAATGACTTTTTAGATACCTTACTGAGAGCCATAAATTAAAAAAATAATAAATTAGAGTTTGTTAAAATTAAAAATTTTTGCTCTGCAAAAGAAACTCTTAAAGCATGAAAAGACAAGCCACAGACTGGAAGAAGGTCTTTGAAAACACATATCTGATAAAGGACTTATATCAAAAATATATGAAACTTGAAATTCAGCAATAAAAAATATATATATATATATATAAAATGGACAAAATATTGAACAGACACCTCACCAAAGAAGATATACAGATATCAAGTAAGCATAATAAAGGATGCTAAAAAGAAGCTGTCCCACATCATTCGTTATCAAAGAATTGCATAGTAAAATATTGAGATACCACATCGCACCTATTAGAATGGCCCAAATCCAGAACAGTGGCAACACCAAATACTAGGAAGGATGTGGAGCAACAAAACTCTCATTCATTGCTGGTGGGAATGCAAAATGGTGTAGCCATTTAAAAGGCAGTCCGACAGTTTGTTATGAAGCTAAACATCTGTCTACCATGCAATCCAGCAATAACACTCCTCATTATCTACTCAAATAAAATGAAAATTATATTCACACAAATATCTGAACACAAATGTTTATAGCAGCAACCAAGATATCCTTCAATAGATTAATGAATAAATAAAATGTGGAACATCACATAAGGAAGTACCATTCAGTGATTTAAAAAAAAAAAAAAAAAAAAGAGCTCTCAAGTTAAAAAAGCCTGGAAGAAACTTAAATTCATATTGCTAAATGAAAGAAGCCAGTCTAAAAACACAAAATACTGTATGATTCTAACTAATGATATTCTGGAAAAGGCAAAACTATGAAGCCAATAAAAAGATCACTAATTTCCAAGGGTTCAGGAGGAAAGGGTGGGGAGGGGTAGATAGGTGGATCATAGTACAATTTTCAGGTCAACGAAACTGTTTTGTGTGATATATCATGGTGGATACATGACTTTATGCATTTGTCAAAACTCACAGAATTTTAAAACACAAAGACTAAACTCTAAATATAGACTTTTCTTAACAAATATCTATCAGTTTTGGTTCATCTATAATAACAAATATCCCACAATAATGCAAGATACTAACAATAGGAGAAATTGTGTGTTGTGGGTGGCAGAGAAAGGGAATATTTGGGAATTCTGTATTCTCAATTACTCATTTTTTTTTGTAAACTTTTCTAAACAAAAGTTTCTCTAAAAATAAGTCTATTAATTATTTAAAATGATCTAAGAAAAAGTAGCTCTTCAAATGTAGCATTATTCACAGTGGCCAAGACATGGAAACAACTGAAGTTGTTGATAGATGATTGGATAAAGAAGATGTGGTACATGTAAACAATGGAATATTACTCAGTCATAAGAGATGAAATACTGTTGTTTGTGACAATGCGAATGGATTTCGAGTTTATCATGCTAAGAGAAATAAGTCAGATAAAAAAAGTTGAGAACCGTGTGATTTCACTTATATGTGAGACATAAATCTGAAAGCAACAAATGAACAAGACAGAGACTCATAGGCACAGACGACAGTTTAGTGATAACCAGAGGGAAGGGGGATGAGAGGAGGTAGAACAAGGTAAAGGGGGTCAAATATATGGTGATGGAAGGAAATTTAACTTTGGGTAATGTATTTTTAAATTGTACAATTGAAACAAGTAATTTTCTTAACCAATGTCACCCCAATACATTTAATAAAATAAAAAAATAAAAATAAAAATAAAAAATAAGATGTAGTAAAGTAAAAATGTTCGAATTGAAAATAAGTTGAAATGGAATGCTTTCGGTCAAAAAGATATGAAACATATGAAGGCCAAGAGCAATGATATCTTAACCACTCCCTTCATATTTTACTATTAGTAAATACAATTAGAATAAAGATTCCTACTTGACACTTCATCTTTTTGTAATAGTTTTCTCTTTTAAATATACTTGTATTTTGCAATCCATTTTGCAAAGTAGTATCCCAGTTTAGTGTTAAAAAATATATTCAGGGTATTATTTTCATTATGATCTATTTAGTAATAATCTTATAGAAACAGCAATATAAAATATTTTATTTTTAAAACAACTTCAAAAATACATAATAAAATAATAAATAGCATAATATCCAAAATAATTTTTATTCTCCTACAAATGTTTACCTTAGGTGATTGGTACAGACAAAACTCTGCAATTTTCCCCTTTTAAATAATGCTTTTTACTCTCATTTTTTCTTTCTACCTTCTTTGTGTATGTGTGTGGGAAGAGTGTTTATTTTATGGAGTTTTTTTTTTTTTTTTTTGAAATAACGTTACAATAACGTTGTAAAGGAAGTGCAGAGGTTTTTGTGTATTTTTAATCCAGTTTCTCTAGTTTTAATATCTTGCATAATCATGGTCATAGTTATCAAACTAATAAATGAACATTGGTACAATACTGTTAATTAAACTATGGATATTCTTGTTTTACCCATTTTTCCATTAATTAATTTTTCTGTTTCAGGAAACAGGGTATCAGATTGCATTTTCTAGTCATGTTTCCATTTGTCTTTTTTTTTTTTGTCACAGTCTCTCAATTTTTCCTTATATTTTATATTCTTTGCAGTTTTGAAGAGTATTAGGTATATTACAGAACACCTCTCAATTTGTGTTTGTCTGATATTTTCCTATAGTTAGACTGAAGTAATGAACTCTTGGAATACTACAGAGGCGAATTGTCCTCATCTCATGATATCAGTGAGTACATGAATGATAACATGACATTTCATGGTGATATTAGACTTGATCTTGGTTAAAATGCTGTTTGCCAGTTTTCTCTAACTGTAAAGTTTCTATTGTCTCTTTCCACTCATTATTTCTTGTATGTGTGTCATTAAGTGAAACCCACACTCAAGGGGAAGAGTATCTGCATATATTATTTGAAATTCTTGTGTAAAAAATTTTAATTTTTATCCCCATTTATTTATTATTTATTCAAACATTTATTTATAACAGTATGGACCATTGTTCTTTGAGTTTATATTGTTCTTTGAGTTACTGTCTATTATGATTAGTATTTATTTTCTTACTTGAATTTTAACTTTGGCAATGAGAGATCTTTCAGTTTGGCTCCTGTGTCCTTTTCTTAAAAAAATAGAAACTATCTGTGATGATACATTATATGAATTGCAGTTACGTCTTTTTAATATAATGTAATAGTAGTTTACTTGAGCCATGCTATTAGCATCACATCAACCTGCTTACACCTTCAAGATACATTTATTGATTACATATTTATCAATTTAATATGTTTATTGGGCATCTACTATGTTTCAGACACTATTCTAGGCAGTGTAGATAGTTTAGGGGATGAAAGTAGATACACAACAAAATGGTGATGAAACAGAGCCTTGTAGACATTTGCAGAGAACTTTGCCTTTTTGTTATATGAAAAAAGAAGTCCCTGCCGTGTGTTGAGCAGATTATTGCATTAACTACTTTAATATAGATGCCGATCGCTTTAGAGGCTGTGTTGAAAAGAGTTTATAGATGGGCCAATGTTGATGCAGGGAGATCAATTTTCAAAAGCAATACAAGTGAGATTGATGCTTTGAATGTAGCTGTGGGGATGATGAGAAAATTGTGTCCTGGATTTCTGATGGATTAGATCTGAAGTGTGAGAGAAAGGGAAACGGTAAGGATGATTTCACGTTTGAGTCCTGAAAAATTTATACACAATGTGTGTATAAATATATGCACACACACATATACGTATATCTGTTTCCTATGTTTTTTAAAATATTAACTATTGAGTGTAACGGTGGTATGAGCATGAAAATGAGAACTAAACAATGTGCAAGTAAATCTCCAGTTCTTAATGTGTAGTAAAACTAAAAATAAATAATATATCATTTTATTTAATTGTAAGAGTAAAGATTAGCCTCATATAGAGATACATAGATTTCCCCCTGTAATTTTAGCCATTTTCTTTTTAATATATTTTTTTTGAAAATAGCATCCAAGATATTTTTATGTAATATCCCTTTGAATTAGTGACGATATATTTTGGATTTTTTTTTTTAGTTGTTTTTTCACCAGATTTAACAAGTCTCATAGTACTTGGAGTCTTTTTCAGGTTGTTTATTATTTTTATTGTTTATTCTGAGATTATTTGAATTTTCCATAACAGTATTGTAGTAAGTGTCATACTGATTTTGTATATAAGTTTAATGATTTTCCAATGATATATAATGTGTAGAAATGGTAAAATAGGTTTATTTCATTTTCCTTAAGTTATAAAATTATTCTCTACATATTCTAACTTCATATACAACTTTTTATCTTTCTGTTCTCTATGTGGAGTTAAGAATTCATCCATTTTGCATCAGATATATATTAAAACACACCATGAGTCTTTATCTTAGGCAACAAAATTCTGTTATGTAGTAATATATGGTATTTTTAAATTTACCTATGAGATAGCACTAAGCTAATTTTGAATGCATTTAAATATGACATTTATAATAATATGCGTGCTTGAATATCAGTGAGTTTAGAATTCAGAGATAATAAAAACTGTCTATTTCTTTCTTGTTTTGGAATTTCAGATTCTAGTGGTCATATTAAGAAGCAGAGATAAAAGAAGAAAGCAAGAAATAATTCAAATGCTGGTAAAGTAATCCTCTACATTGCAGCAATTCACAGTGGTGTGTTATATATAGAAATAAGATCTGTCATTGTTTTCAACCCTGCTAAATAAATCTGAAGTCTTGGAATGGCATGCCACTTGACCTTTCGGGTTTCATCAACAGTATTTAACTGGTGCAAAGGAAACACACTTGCAAAGTGTCTCCTGTTGACGTGCCAGATTCCCCTGGTAGTTCACACAATGTTCAATAGACCCAAGTCCCTTGCTTCAGAATACAAGAGAGAATTCTTTTCCCAAGGAGGTACCCAGTCCACACTGAAGAATGATATGAGAAATTTTCACTTTTTGTCACAAATTGTGCTTGCGGCAGGCCCTTTAAAATCAACTCCAGTGGCTAAACGTTCAAAAGCTGCTCACTTTGAGATTGAAATACTTGATGCTCAAACAAGAAAGCAGATATGTATTGTGGATAAGGTGAGTTTTATTTATTTTTTTAAATTTCTCTATCTCAAAGATTATTAATCACTCGATTAAATGACAACAACTGTTCTAAAATATATTCCTGGCGTTTAGTGTTAATGTTCTGATGAGCAGCAAACTTTATACATTGTTTCAGAAGATATTTGCTACATCCTCATAATCAATTTAAGTAGTAGCTAATAATTATGAGGTTCTGTTTGTCCTGCTAACACTGACCATTGTCCAGAGGCAAAATTTCCAGTGCTCACATTCTCATCCTACAAGAAAAAATACTTTCTAGGTTTTCCTTTACATGTACTTTATTGCATATTCATATTATCATAGCATTCTAATAATATTTATAGAAAATAGCAAGCAAAAGACACTGAAGGTACCAGATATTACATTGTGCATAATGATAAAATCTAGTTATTTAAAAAGTACTTAGAATTTTTTCTTTTTAAATGCTTACAGCACCTGGTATTCTGAAGTGATCACCCGTCCAAGTACTAACCAGGCCCGACCCTGCTTAGCTTCCGAGATCAGATGAGATCGGGAGTGTTCAGGGTGGCATGGCTATAGACAAAAAATTACTTAGAATTGATTTAATTATTTGTCTTCAGAAACAACCAAAAAAAATCTTACATTTGATGGTTTACTTATTTCAAAACAACAATGTCCATGTTTCTAAAGAGAATGTCTTGCTTAATATTATCCATTTATATTCATATGACAGATGTTTCACCAAGGAAAGATAAAATATATACTTCCTGGCTCATACAAACATATGTGTACATTGTAGGTATACATACGCACGTACAATATTTCAAACAATTTTAGTCTTTCAATAGTTTAAAAAGATACTAGTAGTTTAATTTATTATGAGAAAGATTGATATTTTTAGTAAAATATATCTTCATTTATTTTTCTTTACTGACAAGTTAAATACGATTTTTGATGTTCTAAAAATAAAATTCAACCACTGACTGATACTATTTAACTATGCTCTGGCTGTGTTTCTGGATAATAGAGGAAGTATTTATGGTTTTTAATTGCCAAGAAGATCATATGTACTTTTATAATTAGTAATTATAACACTATGACCAGCTTATTATTTGGGTAATACTAACTTTTATTTACAAATTAAATTAAAGTGAAAGAACTTTTACAAGTTTATATAGGACATAAGTGGAATGTTCAAGATTCAAAATCTTTCTATGCAACTCTAAATCATATTATTTTTCTATAATACCACTGGAGTCATATAAAATGATAAATATATATTATGTATAAGAAATTTTAACATACAAATTACATGCATGGCATAATTTATTTCTAGTTTAGTTATCTCCATAAAATTTTTAGATTTTTTTGTGTCATACGAAGACAAAAAAATAAAATTCTCATACAGAAGTTGCTAATATTTATAATATCTCACTATCAAAAATTCAAAAGATTAAAAAAAAACACAGTTAAACCAAGGGAAACAAGGCAATGAATGGAATGAACATTACATTGGTCAAGGATTTATAAAGACCAAGATTCTTAAATGAGACTGGTTTTGTGTCCTTTCTAATGTGTGTGTGTGTAAGCCTTGACACAAAATATACCTTAAAGTAATGAGAAACTAATGGGCTTCTAATTATTTTCTTTAAGTATTTAAATTTGTGTTATTGAGATTTTATTTGAAGCTAAGATATGGAGTTATACATTTCTATATTAACTAAATTACAAAAAAGAACAAAAGCATGCATAAAGCCAGTACTCTATAGAGATAAAGATTTTACTATGGAATCTCACATTTGAACTCTAAGAGGCCTGTTTTTTTTTTTTTGTTGTTGTTGTTGTTGTTTTGTTTATCTCCAGTGGCAAATGTTCAGGGAAACTGAGTAGGCTAGATAGAGATTAATTTTGGATTCCTCAGTAGCCTTTATTACACAATCAACACGATATGATATGCAACTTACTATATACAAATCCATGTCTTGTCAGTAGAACTGGATTTTGTTTGGTCATGTGTTTGTTTTGCAATTTGATAGATCATCTCATAATGATGGCAAGACATTCAAAAGAAAAAAAAATCTGGATTAATTTATCCTTTTTTTCTTTTTTTTTTTGGCTTCGTGATTCCTAGTAATTTAAGTTTGTAAATAAGAGAAAGTCTGACTTCGTTTGTTCAAGATATTGTTCTTTTCTTAGACAAATTAACAGTTATATTAATAGTAAGGTTATGTTAAGTGCCTTTTATTGTACTTGACTCTATCTATTATACAAAGAAGTGTTGCTAATGACTTAGTACCTGTCTTTCAGTAAGTATGTCTTATATAGTCGTAAAAATTAAAGGTCATGTACTTTGGAACTAAGCATATCTGGACTGAATCCATGCTACATCAATTATATCTATCAAAGCTCAGTAAAGTCACCGAATTGCTGATCACTAGGACTTTTATTTAGAATATAGGTTAATAAAATTGATTTTGTAAGTTTATGGTAAAGAGTAAGAATAAGATATGTAACATGCTGAGAATAGTGCCTTGAACATAATAGGGACAGATATTTTTTTTTTTTAGGTTTAATAATCACTTCGAGAGATAAATTTGATGTGCGTAAAAATCCAAGAAAATATAATTGATGAACCTTCTGATAGTAGCAGAGAATTTCAATTTGATTTCTTGAGAATTATTCATTGACATAATTTGTTATAATGCTTAGGTTGGATATAAATTTTCAGTTATCTTGAGTGGGATGTACCTTTGTAATGTATGCTGAGCTCTAGTACAAATTGTATTTGCATCTAGATATTACAACTTTAACTTTAGAATGGATAAAACATGTACTCAAGATATTCGTGAGGCAAAAATATTGAGAGAATTCCTGAGATTAAAGAAAATATATTGAAGCATGTTCTTTTACGCACACACACACACACACACACACACACACACACCCCCCCCAAGTAAAACACTATGGCCTTCAGTTATCTTCTCCAGGTTCTGTCCTATTGCTCTCATTACTTTTATCATATTTATTTTATCTGTCCACATTTTTCTTTTTACATTTCATCATAAACTTACTCCATTCAGACATTTGCCTCCATCACTTCTCAGAAAATGACCTTGCCGAGGTCACCAGTGAGGCAGTAGTAAATATCTTGCTAAATCTAAAGGTCAATTCTCATATTTTATCTTATTCTGTATATTAGCGATACTCACCACTATTAAGCACATTCTCCTTAAAACACCTTTGCTATTTGAAAAAAAATACTAAACACATTTTTTTTCAAAACTACTTTAGTAGCTTCTCCTTTTCCTCCTGCTGCTTCTTCATTATCTGACTTACTGGGTGTGTCAGTAATGTCACCATCTCAGTCGTCAGAACTTCTCCCCATCTTTAGTCATTTACCTTACTGAGTCCCATAGCTTTAAACGTACTCTGCTTACTGATGACTCATCAACATGTAACTGCAGTTTATCTTCTTCCCCTGAAGGGGCAATTCCATTTATCTAAGTACCTATGTATGTATCCATCTATGTATCTATGTACCTATTTGCCTATTTGGATGTTTACTATGTACCTTAAACTTAGTATATTTAAAACTGAAAACTTGGTCTTCCTATAAAAATTTTTCATAGGGTTTTCCAGGTCAATAAGCGGAACTACATTCTTCAAATAGCTCAAGACAAACACTTAGAAGCATCACAACTCACCTTCTAATCTCAGAACCCATGTACAATCCATCTTCATGATGATACCTACACATAGATACAGACCCTGACAAACTTTAACCACCTCTACTGCCAGAACTCCTGAATCTTCCTGTTTCTGTGCTTAGCGCCTTCAACATATTCCCAACATAGCAACAGATCTAGCCTGTTAAATTGTATCAGATAATATCTTTCACTACTCAAAACTAGTCAATGTCCTTTTGTAGGTCTTAATTGTCACTTCTTTCTTTAGGCCTTTCCTTACTAACTAGTTAAAATGACAAAATCTGACAATATTTTCTATTACCCTCCATTGTTCTGTTTCTTTACTAATACTTATTTCCTTTTTCGTTTTATTATTTGGTCTACCCTTGGTATGCCAGTTTCACAAAACCAGAGATTTGATTTTTTTTTTTTTTCACTCCTGTATCTCTAACATTTGGAACAGTACTTTGCACAAGAAAACATTTAACCAATATGTATTTAATAACTTGATGCCTATTTAAGATATATGTAGATTTTACAATGTACTCATGTTTAGCACTGGTAGCTTTGGGGTAGAGGAGTATGTTATTTGAAAATGCTTTTTGCTATTTTCTAAATCAAATTATCACCGGAATAAATGTAAATATAATCAATAGAAAAGTACATTTAATTAATCCATTCTACTGAATGCCCAATTTCTTCTGGGCTTGCTCCCAAAAATGATTTATAGAATTTAACTTTGTATTAGTGTATAATTTACTAACAATCGTGTTCTGATTACAAAATCTAACAAGCTTTTCATAAAAAAGACAATACAGATGGAGATATTTAACTAATTTAGTTATTCTCTATAAACGATTAAATATCACTAATCAAGAATTATATGGACCTTTTGAGATACATTTCTCTTGCTCAGGCCTGCTTCCACATCTGGAAGTGTACTTTCTCTTCTAATAAAACTTTTATTTTCTATTGTAAAAAAAAAAAAAAAGAAGAAGAATGTTATAAAGAGCAGATTTAAAATGTATTGTTTAATATTCTTAAGTATTTTTTGGAACATCAAAATATATATTGGAAATATAAATTTTAAAAATTTAACAATGAATTATTTGTAGTTGCTAACTATCCCTGTTTCATTTCTATTTTGTAAAATGTCAGAAACTTATCTTGTAATAAGTCTATGATTCAAGACCACAGCAAGAACTCTGAAAGCTAGAGGTGCTAAACATTTCCAATATCATCCCATTCTTTTTCCTTTAATTTTTTCTCTAAGGAACTTGACCTCAAGAACTCTCTTTCTCTTATGGTTTAATTTGCTCTATTTCAAAACTCTCGAAAGCTTTTTAAAGATTTCTTACAAATAAAATAAAGTATTAAATATTTCTCCAATCTTTCTAATGGTAAAAATACCAGTTTTACCAGAAAACAGAATTAATGAAAGAATTATGAGGTAGTAAGACTGTATAAAATTGCATTTTTAATACTTTAGTTAGAAATTTGGAGAATTCTCAGTTTTTTTTTGACATTGACATTGCTACTTTTCATATTTTATCTTAGGCAAGCTACTTAGCATATTTAAGCTTCAATTTGTTCATCTGTAAAATAAGAATGGCACCTGCTTTAAAATGGCCTCTTGGCAGTTTTCAGAACTTCATGTATAAGCAAATGACATTATTTTCTTTTTCTTCAATTACTCTTTTTCTTCCTCCTACTTCTCTTCTTTTTAATTCCTTTTTTTTCTCCTCTTCCTCCTATTCCTGCTCCTCTCTTCCTTCTCTCCTCCTTAGTCCTCTTTCTCCTACTTCTTATTATATGGTATGATATATTTGAAAGCTTGTAAGTTTAGGATTCAGGCAAACCAGAATTTTAATATAAAGCTGATTGCTTTTTCTTTT